CTGGGAGTCGGAATGCAGTTTCCGGTGGTCTTAACGGTTCCAGCTTCTCAAGGCCAACGAGTCCAATGGCAGCGCTACGAGATGGGCAGAGGGTTTGAGTTAGCAGTGCCCCCACCCCCACCCCACCCCCCCAGTGCCGCAGGGAGGAAATGTCTGCAGGACAGAGGAGAGTTGCCTGGCGGGGGGATCTCTGAGACTGCGGATCTTTACAGAACAGGCTGCCTCAGCCTCACCTGGAAGAGAGGCCGGCGGGTTGGCACCAATGACCTTCTGGCTAGCAGCTGCACTCTTTAAGCCCACAGCATCACTGGGCATCTTCCTCCGGCTTAGAGTGGCCCAGAGGGCGGAAGGGGGCTGTTCTGAGGGCTGTCCAGGCTGTAATCTACAGAGGCCACTGCCTCAGCTGTCTTCCAAAGAGTGACCGGTGGGATCGAACAAATGACCTTTCCGTTAGCAGCCGAGCTCCTTCCTCATCCACTCTCTGCAGACAATTATTTTTCAGCCAGTGGCTTCCTTAACCTCTTCCTTTGATAGGAGATTTTTTGGGGGGGGTCCTGTGAGGGGGTAGGGGTGGGAGGAGAACTGGGGCAAGTCCACATTATAGGGCTCTTCCTGCCCAGCCTTACAAAGACACAAACTCACTGCTCGCAAGTTTCTGACTCGGCGGCCCTATAGGACAGAGTCGGGCTGCCTCCGTGGGTTTCCGAGGCTGGAACTGTTGGCAGGAGCAGCTGCGCCACAGGAGAAAGACCAGGCTGTCCGCTCCCGTAAAGAGCTTCCGTCTCGGCAACCCAGAGGCCGCTCCACCCTGTCCTACTAGGTCTCTGTGAGTGGAGCAGACTTGATGGCAATGGGCATGGGAGTTTCATCTCCGCTCTTATAAGTAACTGGTTCCCATTTGTGGGCTTGTTCCTAATGCCCCCTTGTCTCCACACCTCACAGGGGCCCCCCTGCCCACCCTGCAGTGGTACAAGGACGCCGTCTCCCTCAGCCAGCTCCCGAACCCCCGCTACAAGGTGCTCCCCAGTGGGGGCCTGCGAATACAGAAGCTGCTTCCGGAAGACTCCGGAATCTTCCAGTGTTTCGCCAGGAATGCAGGCGGGGAGGTCCAGACCCACACCTACCTGGACGTGACCAGTGAGTATGGCCCTGGACGTAGCCAGAGCCCCGGGCCCACCCTCTGCTGAGCTGGGTCCCACACAAATGGCGCTGCCGCCCTGAGGTGGAGGGGCAGGGGCTGCAGCTGGAGGCGACCGGGCTGAGGAGCGGTCTCGTTCCAGTCTCTCACTCATAGCAATGCCACAAGGGGTGGCTTTGTCAAACAGAAAATCAGTCACTCACAGTTTAGGAAGCTGGAATTCTGAGTTCAGGGTGCGTGCTCTTGGGGGAAGTGCTCTCTCTCTCTCTTGATCTCTCTATCTCCAGCAGTCCTCGGTTCCCTGTTGATCTCCTGCAGGCATTTGTCCTTCCCTCTTTGTGCTCGGTTTTCCCGGCCTCCTCTGCTCTTCCGGAGGTTTTCATTGAGATTCAGGGTGGAGGTGAACGGACCCAATCAGATTCTGCCCAACAATCCAGACGCCTTTGATTTCCTGACACCGACAGCCTCCTCTGCCCAGCCCTCTCTGGGTCTCCTGTCTCCACTCATCCGTCCCTCCTGCCCGCTCCCAGCCTTCCCAGCATCCTCCCCAGGCTCAGGCTGCCCTCTGGACCTCACAGTGCTGGTTGGTCTCAGGAAGGGGGACCTCCCGGGCCAATGGGCTCGGAGGCCTCTGCTCCCTGTGCCCGAAGGCTGGGCTACAGGGTGAGGTCAGTTGCAGGGTGAAGGGATTCTAAGCATCATCGTCCCAAGGGTCCTGCCCGTCTCTGCCTGACCGGTTGTTACCAGGTGCCGCGTAGTTGGCTGGCCCTGACTCCCGGAGACCCGTGTCCGGCAGGAAGCACTGCCTGGTCCTGTACCAGCCTCGCAGGTGTCATGCCCAGGCCCCTGTGGTGGCCCTGCGTCCCTCTACCTCACCGAGGGCCTTTCTCCGCCCACCTCAGGGATCCCACCATTGAGCCTGGCGCGTCCATCCTTTCTTGGATGGACTGAAGACCCAAGCTCGGTGGTGTGGGCCCTTCCACGTGACAGAGAACCCTGTCCCCAGCAGGGTCACACATAGGGGTAGCA